TCTACAGATGTTCAAATCATGCGAGACTTGTACCATTGGAAAAAAGCACTTCAAGAGCTTTGCGTAGACACTAAAATCGCGTAAATCCGACACCGGAGCAGAAAGTTACGAGCGAATTCGTGAAGACCAGAAAACTGCAGTGTAGGGCCGGATCCAACTGGATTCGGTCCGATTCCAGAACGCAGAATTCGACTCCAGGAATCTGAATCCGGTCCGGATCCACCTGAAAACGGCTCGGATCCAGTCAAAAACACTGTTTCACGATTTTCAGCATCCGAATGGGAATAGGACTCTTGGGAGCCGCTCTAGGGTTATAAAAAAGCACTAGCCATGTCCTAGAACAGAGGAGAACCTTAGAGAACACCTAGATACAGATTTTTGGAGAGTTTTTGGGGAGAAAGAATAGAAGTTCACGGGATTTCGGGAAGAAGAAGGAAGATTTGATCGTGGAGACTACACATCTACATGAGCTTTTCTCTCCTTTCTTTTATCTCTTTTTCTCTGTTCTTTTTATTGTTTTCCATGAACCGTGAGTAGATCCACGACTATGGGTTAGCGATTCGTTTGTGTTTTGGGTATGTTTGAACTCTAACTTGGATTTCGGTTTTGATTTGTTTCGGTTCTATTGATTTGCGCTTTTATTGGATTGATGTTTGCTAACCCCTTGGTCAATTATCTTAGATTCTAAACTACATAGAGATATGGGTTTGGTTTCGGATCAAAATCAATAGGATAGATCATATTATTCACATAGAGATATGGCTTAATCGATCTAGGGTTGATGATAGCGTTCTTTATGCACCTAGGGTTAACTCGAATAGATCGAGAGATTGATGAGTTACTCTGTAGGTAGGGGGTTAGTAGACCGAGAGGTGAATTCTCTATCTTTGTTGCTTGATGATTCCCGAAAACAAGTCATAACCGTGATTCTCGCATGCTTAGCATATATCCATACACGCGAATACGATCCCGACACCCGTAGTCATCCTTGTTTGATAGGTTACTCGTTTTCATTGCTTTCTTAGTTCGTTTTTCATTGATTCCATATATTTTCACCATCACTTGCTTGCATTCTTTGGTTTAGTTTCGATTAAGGTTTAGATTTAGCTACTGGTCCTTGTGTTCGACCCCGTGTTACGACGATCCGTATCCTTGCGGTGAGTTGTGAATCGGGTATAAATTCTAGACTCGGTACACACCTATCAGTTTGTACGTGTAATATGCTCCCATATGCCTTGACTCTTAGTTTCTTGCAACTAAATACCGAGTATACTTAAGGTTAACATCATGATCGTGTCGAATTTGGGTCTTCGGATCTTGGTTTGATATTACTTCCTTCGTCTTCCTCAACATCGTCTCCCTCTTCATGACATTAAATACGACATTTTTCATTTGTAAGCTTTGTCAACCAAAGACATTAACCTTTTAGCTTTTGAAAGATTGACTTGACCCACAAAATGTCTTTTCAAGTGATCAGCACCCATCTGTTTAGTTCCATTCATTGTTTTCCTCTTGAAACAACGGTGTATAAGTATGAAGCTGAACATTCTTACTCATTCTAAAACAATGAGATTTCTTTTTTAACTCCTCTCAGTCTCCACATACAACCTTTTGTTCGAAATACATATCTTACTTCCCACTTATCTCAATCCGACTTGTGCACATAGTATCGAAAACATATATCATGCGAAACCTTCATTTTATGGTCAACCTTATTTACAAACTTTTTACCCACTGTAAAACCCATTCTATCTTCGAATGAAAATTTTCCATGATCATTTCCTTCTTTTGGACCTGAATTCGGAAGATTACCACCTAACTCAATCACATAACATTATCTAACTATGTTGTACATGTGTTATCTAACTCAGTCGTAACTTAAATTACAACATCATTAGTCGCAAGAACCACGTTATTCAAATCTGCACGAAAAATCTCATGCTCAATCACAATTGCATTATCTACCAACTTCACATTATTTTGTTCTCTCTCTCCTCCATTAAGTCCCTCTGATTGTTCATTTATCTCTCTTCTATCATTGACATCCTGCTCAACTCCAATCTCAACATCATCAATACACATATGAGATACATGTATCCTATCGTTTTCTTCGTTCAATACATCATCATCGCTCTGTTTTACATACAACCATCCTCGACGCCTATTACTTTTGCTACACATGAACGATTTAACTCCCAAGTCATTCAATATATATTTTGGTCGGTCTTCATCGACCACCATAGGTACGAAACTCAAATTTTGTCTTCTTAATTCGATTTGAATCTATCCCCTTACAACTTCAATTAGCTCCTCAGGTGTGATTTTACTAACTCTATTATACATACAAATTGTCTTTCTTTTATCATCACCACATTTTCATTCAAATAAGTTAACATCATTTTCTTTTTGTTAAATCCTATCATAGCGACCAGAAATAGATATGTAACAATTTTACAACTTCCATAATCCTGTACAAAAAGTAATACATTTTTGTCAATCAAGTCAACATCTCAGAACTTTGCAACTTTATTTTGACTTAGACTATAGTACGACTATTCGGAAAAAATCAAGGTTTCGTTTTCCATTGCGAGAATCGCTGCAAAAACTTTCAAAATCTTTAACTATTATAAAAAAAATAGATCGAAACTGCAGTGATAGTTTCCAAACATAATTCGTTAATGAAAATTGCACTGAACATATTAGGCATTGAATCTTTAAGTTTGAAACTCCGGAATAGTAAATATTGCATAATAATGAATAAAAATAAATAGGATTAACTTCTAATATACATGTCCAGATGATTTTGACTTTAAATGAGTAGAAAATCAGAACAAATATCTATATGGAGTTTGATGTTGAGATATACCGGATCTTGAAGAATATTACGAGATATATCGTATATTGAAGATCTTATTAAATCCGAAAAATATATATTTAGAAATATTTATCATTATGTCTATTTTACTTATTTAATGTAAGACTCTCATCTATTTATATGTTATTTTGGTTATCAATAAAAATATAATTCCGCAAATTTCTACATGGTATCAGAGCTTCTGGTTCTTTTCTAATTTGTTGTTCTTTTCATAAAAATGATGATCGATAATGAGAGTGAAGATGAAGATGATGATATACCGATCCACTGGTAATATCATTTCAAGTTTTTTTTTAAGAATAAGATAGTCATTTTATTTTTGTTTTTTTTTTATTTTCTCTCATAATCCCACATGTTTCTAAAGATTATTCGCATAACCGTCAACCATCTTATTCTTGCCAAAAAATTTGTTGTCATTAAACGCTTTCGCGTAGTTGCATTTCAATCTCGGATGAATCAGAGTTATTCCCGAGACTTCTTTCTGCACCGCGATTGTCGTCCTTTTTTTGTTATCATCAAACGATTCTTTTGTGCGTGGTGTCAAAGTTGCAGCGCAGTCGTTTGTTTGATTTTTTTTAGTTATGTCTTTTATTGACACGAGTTCGCAAGGTGATGTGGTTCAAACGACATGAGTTTGATCATCTTTTCAGCAAGTTGGACGTTTCATGATCTTCCACGCTCCAACTTGAAGGGGGATGTTGAGATATACCGGATCTTGAAGAATATTACGAGATATATCGTATATTGAAGATCTTATTAAATCCGGAAAATATATATTTAGAAATATTTATCATTATGTCTATTTTACTTATTCAATGTAAGACTCTCATATATTTATATGTTATTTTGGTTATCAATAAAAATATAATTCCGCAAATTTCCACATTTGATAGCACAGTTTCGAGCTTGACAACAGAGTTTTAATGGCGGAAACGATAGTCTGAGAAAGAAAGAGATACAAATAATACTTTATTTAATTTGTTTTATTTTAATCTTACATTTTTCTCACGTTTTTTAATTTGGAAAGGAATGATAATTTCGTATTTTTTGTAACAAAAGTTATTTAAGTCTTTAGCCAATCTAAATGAGTAGTGTATGAAAGAAAAACTAGCGTGGATTTTTTGGTGGAGTATGTTTAAAGTTATTACGATAAAAAATACCTAATTTTGAAGTTTTTCTCGTATAGAATTCGGGTTTAGATTCGGATCGGACCGATTCTTTTAAATTGTTCTTTTCTAGATATTTTTTATTAATATTAAAAAAAAAATTAAATCGGGTTTTTGAAACGACCATAACTCAATTTGAGTCCGACCCGAAAATCCAAAATTATTCGGGATGTTAGATCCGATATCCGATATTTTTTGGGTGGATTTGGTCCAAACTTTAGCTTTCGGACCATGTGTGTTCATAAATTTAGGTTTGAAATCCGATATTTTTCGAATAGAATTGATTGAACTTTAAATTTCGGGTTAAAATTGGCTATAAAGATATTGTACATCTATTATTCAACAAAATTTATGTAAAAAAAAACGTGAATGGATTTTAGATTTTAATTTTCTTTTTCACCATTCCCACTATCTACGTCGTTGCTTTGAGCTTTTTGTTAACCTTCTACATCAGTATCTCTCCACCGCCGTTGTTGTCGTATATTCATTTTAACCGTATTATTTTTTACCATGTTGTTTTTTTCTCGATCACATTTTCTAGGCAATATATCTGGTATACCCTTTGACTGCTATTCCAACTTCTACTACTACCCTTGAAACAAAAAATTGAAAAAAAAGAGACTACTTTTCATGGCAAATGACACAAAAAATCCTAAATATTTATGAATAGACCAAAAAACCTGACAAATTTTGAAAAAAAAATGAAAAAAAAAACAAATAAAGACGCAACGTCTCTCTCTCTCTCTCTTCAGTCGCGTCTTCTCACTCTTTCTCCTCACTCACGTATCAGCGGTCTCTCTCTCTCCTATAACTTGCGATTTTCTTCAGTCATGTCTTCTCTCTCGTAAGATTTGCGCTCGAAATCTCCGAACCGTCCCCGTGTTTGTACCCCAAATTTCATTTTCTCTCAGCGTTTTCTCTTTGGGAAGACAGAAGAAGCAACGTCCGACTGCGAAAAAATGGCAAGTTCTGGGTCTTCGTCACATTCCTCGAGCGAAAGTGAGAGCCGTATGGAGATTTCGGAATTAGATGGATACAAGGTAAGTTAAACTTCAATTTCTTTGCAAATTTTGGAGTTAGATGAACACAGTTATTGTTCGATTGAAGTGTGGGTTGGAAAATTTGAGGGATAGAGCATTAGGGTTTTGGGCAATTTTGAAATTTGGGGATTTGGAAATAGAATTTTGGTTTGAGACTTTATGGTTAAAATCGAGTGTGATGGTTGAGTTTCGGTCACAATGGATGAGTTTAAGTCAAGTTAAAGAAGTGATATAGGACACAACACGGTATGGGTCGGATTGTCATGAGGAATCGGATGACCTAAGGATTCAAATGCTATGGTCTCACGGTCACAGTCACAAAGGTCACAGTGTCACATGATTGTATAGTCACTAGGTCACAGTCTCAGAGGTCACAGTGTCACATGTTTATATAATCACAAGGTCACAGTCTCAAAGGTCACAATGTTTGATGTTTTGCAGGCACCGTATATCTACAAACTTGATAAAATTCAGTTTTGCTCGAAGATAAATACGAGATGTTATCCGGCTCAGACACTGAAGAAGCTGAAAGACCTACTAACAAACGAGGAATGGATGTACTTTAGCAAAGAGTCACAGTTTCAACATCTGTTTCACACCAAATTCGAAGAGACACTGAAGATGGCACCTGCTGCATTCCTCATCAACCACGCAGTGTTGGTCGAGGACAATTGCGAGCTATGGTTTGTCGTCAATGGAGTACCCATCAGGTACTCCATCGTGGAGCACGCCTTGATATCGGGATTGAAATGCGGTGAATGTCTGCCAGGGTGGGAGTACAAAAGGAAAGATAAGTTCAGACTGAAGATGTTTGGGAATCGAAAAGTGTCTAAGCAAAATGTTCTTAGACAACTTGAGAAGACGCCAATCGCTAAGGTTGCTGATCGGAATTAGCCATGGTGATGATACTCGGAGGGATTCTGGACCATGGCACCACAGAAGATAGTATCAACAATGATTTGATGGACATGGTGAATGATTTGGATTTCTGCGAAAGGTTTCCGTGGGGACGATATACATTTGAAAAGATCAATGATCAGATACGGAAAAGTTTCTCGAGTGGAACTCCGAAGAAAAAATGGCACTGTCGGGGATTTATAATACCCCTTATGGTAATTAGTTTTTGTTTAATGGATTAATTTAGAGTTGCCATTATATATGTTACTATGATTTGAGGGTTTGTTTGTTGTGTGATAATGTTTAAACAATATTTTGCAGTTGCTTCCATTCGAATGTATATCCGGCTTGGGTTGCAATGGGTGGTATAAAGATGTTGAAGAAGCAGATCTGGGGTGTCCTAGGATGTGCAAGAAGTCCGTGAAGGCAAACGTCCGATGGACCTTTGGTAATGTCATAAAAAAGATTGGAAAGAAATCAGAGGTACGCCTAAATCACAATATACAATAATCACATAGTCACATAATCACATGGTCACATGGTCACACGGTCACATGGTCGCATGGTCACATGGTCACATGGTCACATGGTCACATGGTCACATGGTCACATGGTCAAAAGGTCACATAGTCACATGGTCACATAGTCACATAATCACATGGTCACATGGTCACATGGTCACATAATCACATGGTCACATGGTCACATGGTAACATGTGTTGGGGTTCCCTTCGGGTTCCTAGCATGCGATCTCATCGATCTAGGGTTTGGTTTCTAGGTTTCATGCAGCGGAAGGAAAGATCTAAACCTAGCCAAACGTCACACAAAAACCAATTGTGCAATAACCCGAACAATCGTGTATATCGTCGTGGGATTCGAATACTTACCTCGTTCTTTCAAGATCTGGAAGTATCAATCGATCCAGGGCCTGTTTTAATCACCAAGAGTTGAAAGCACAACTCCTCTACACGTATCCACACCGGCGGGATGAATTCCAACGCTTTGGAACGTATCTGCTAGGATTCGTGAAGAGAAAAACCGATGTCCTTGACTTGGAATCGATATTCCAATTACTAGAACTCAAAATCAAGCTTCTCTAAGCTCTCTTCTGATTCTGGGACGTATGAGGTTCTTCTTTTTTAGGGTTTGTGGCGGCTCTCTCATTAATTAAGATTGCCCAAAACCCCTTAAAACGCGAAATAGGAAATCTGCCCGAAAGTCGGACCGTCCGGACTAGGTCGTGGATGATATGATATCTGTGGATGTCAATGAGTATGTCTCTAACTATGAGACATCAGATGCACTCAGGAACGAAGACAACTCGACGTTTCTAGAAGAAGACAACTCAGCAAACACAAATGGAAAGTATACAATGCAGAAGATTCAACACGAAGAAGGAAACAAGTAAATTTAGCTTTATAATATTCAGCAATATATGCGACAGATTTACTTGCTGATTCTGTACATACCAAATCTTGTATTAGCCGTTTGTTCATACTTGTATATATTGACAAGTGTAGATGACGATCAAACATATGAAAGCACAAGACGTTCCTTTTTCTTCTCTTGTGCCCAGACACTAAAATCTTTGAAACAAACTTGTTTATGGTATCAGAGCATTGACGATTCAGTCATTGTTGACCACCCACCTAGAATAGAGTTAGAGGTGATCTAACAAAGCCAGCAATAGTTCGAGTTCTGATCCTTTGTCTCACGATGTCGTATGTTGAACAAGGGCATGGTTCGAGCCACCCTTCAAGTTCAACCGCTTACTCGTCTAGGCAAACCGACTGATAAAATAGATGTACATTCATCTATAG